CACCCCGGGGGGGGGGTGTGCGTGTGTGTGTGTGCGTGCGCACGCGCGCCTGGTATGCGAGCAGGGCCGTGCCCGGCCTAGGCCCCGCCGGCGCTGCGGGGGGGAGGGTGCGCGCTGGGCTCCTCCCACCTGCGTGGACTCAGAGGTGGCGGCTGCCCCACCTCGCCCGGTCTCGCCCCACTCCCCGGGAGGGCTCAGGCGGCGGCAGCGGGATGGCTGCGCGGCTGCTCCGGCTGGGCAGAGTCCTGGGGCCGCTGCCTCCACGCGCGCCTCGCGCCCTGGCCAGGTGAGGGCGGGCGGCGCCGGGCACCTTCTGGCCGGGCAGCCCCTTGCGGGGGGCGGGCGAGTCCCGGGCTGGGCAGGGAGCAGCTAGGCCTACTCCTGTCCTCGGGCCGGGCCCCGGGTGGAGCCGCGGGGCTGCCCGCAGGAGGTCGCCGCCTCCCAGGCCTGCAGTAGTGGGGCGGGGGGAAGCCGTAGTCCCGGCTCTCTGTCACTCCCGCGCGGCCCCTGCCTGGCCCAGGCTCCTGGGCGAGGTGGGCCCGCGGCCTGACCCACTACAACGCGCCGGTTCTTGAGTGGGGAAAACAGGGGCTCCCTCGCTCCTGCCTCCATCTGTGTCTCTCGAGTGACCGCAGGCAGATGTTCCCAGCCTGTACTTTGGGTATTTTTCACATGGAGGACAGCAGTTGTGGGGATCTGCCTCTGCTTCCTTGTGTTTTAGGGCTGTGTTATTATTATTACGTAGTGACTGCAAGTCTGTGAAGCCAAGCAGTGGCCTCAGTAGGCGAGTTCAAAGTTATGAATCCACCATTTGGTTTGTCGAGGAGACGCTCCTCCATGTTGTGGGGCCTTGTTTGTATCTCCACAAGCGCACAGCGGGTTAGCAGTGAGGCCCCAGTGGCTGTGTAGGGGCCTTGGCCTGCCCCTCAGCCTGTTTAGCAAGGACTGCTCTTGCTGTGATTGTTCAAAGCCAGCAGGTTGATGAGTGGGGTTGGTCACAGGGAACTTGTTTGTGACTTCCCATGGTTCCCATTCCTTGATCCAGTCATGTCATTTAGGATGATAGATGGAAATGGAGGATTGCTTTTCCACCTTTTGGCTGAGATCAAGCAAGACGGTGTATGAATCCCAAGGCCAGCTCGAGACCTGGGGCTTGCACGTAGGACACCTGTTTGGATTTGGGGAGTATCTGAAGCCTGAGACGGATAGGCTTTCGCACGCTAATACTAAATATGTTGGATAGTTAGTTTTGAAAACTAAGTCCTTTAGTGGCTGTGGGATTTTTGGGTGGGCACTGGGTACATAGGTGGAGGTCCGTATACTTTGTTTGTTGTGGGGAAACTAGAAAATGTAGACTAAATAGACGGCAAAAACTATGTATACAGAGCTGGCTACAATAATGTGCATATTAATTCCTGCTTTTCAAACACTTGTACCAAAGACCAGAAGAATTACTGCAGTTTTCGTTTTAGCCAATAAGGGCCCAAGCCTGTACACACCATTAAATGTTACGCTAGAAACCTCATGCTGCTTCATTTGGCTGCCTGATTTGGTTCTAGTAGCATTTTGCACAGTCTAAAGTGCGTGTGTGGCAATAACTATTTGAATGATTGAACCCAAGAAGGGCAAAACAGGTTAAAGAGGAATCAGAAAGCTTATATTGACAATTGGTTATTTTTATCACTATTTATACAGTTTCTGCAGAATTATGACAAGCAAACCCCCTTCTTAAAATACAAAGTTTCAACCCTCTGAGAATGAATCTTTGTTGTGAAACAAGACCATTGTGTATAAATGTATGAATGAAAGCATCGCTAGGAACTGAATGAAATCAGGATTCTGTGTTTGGCATGAGTCTCTGCCTGTGATTGTTTTTATTCACAGCACTTGTATGAGGGGATTGAAATATTTTTGTTTTGTTGCAGTGGTGGCTAATGGGTTTCACAGAGACTGTAGTAGGAGGAAGAGAAGCAGCAGAGTTTAATTAATGGCTTAATAAAAATTACCTTATAATTGTGGTGGTATTAAAATGTGGTGGTATTGATTTGGGGGAGCCTGCCTATACCACACATTTCTTGTGTTTTGTAGTGGCATCTTTAAACATACCAAAAGCACGTAGCTGTGCCCTCACTGTATTTCATGCCTGCAGTGCTGTGCATATGGGGCTATACTGCTTCTGGATCAGGAAGCAGCCTGAATGGGGAGATACGGCATGTTTGAGTTCACCCTTACCTGATGGGGTAAGTTTGAAGTGCAGAAATGCTCTTCTTCTGAACGTGAAGAACTTGCTATGTTTGAGCACGACCTTGTGCCAGTATACTTCTTGGCAGGCTTTGTTCAAACCTTCCAGTGCACCTTAGACAAATGCATGGCAGAGCTGACCAGAAAGAGCCTTTACTATATCTATCCGGGGTTGCTCCTAATTGACAATCATGTCAAGTCCTTCAGTAGTTTTGTAATGTGGGCAGTATGGACTATGATTAGGAACCTACCAAATTTGTGAGTGTACCTTTTTTGCATAAAACATGAAATCAGGTGGGCTCCACAAAAAATGGCAGGCTCTGTGATTTTTGTGGGGTCCATTGCAACCCACTCCCCCCGCAACCAAAAAAACCTAAGCTGTGAGCAGAGAAAAGGGCAGGAAGCCCTGCAGTCCTGAAGTATGGGGGTGGGAGATTTGGGGGGAGGGCAAGGAAGGAGAACAGGGAGTAAATCAGAGGCTGAGCCCGTGACCTAGGCTTAGTCCAGGAGCCAGTCTGGGACCAGTCAGAGAAGTGAGAGGGTTTTGGCGGCAGCTTTTTAAAGGGGCCACAGACATGCTGATAAGGCGTGGTATAGCTTGAGAAGGATTCTTCAGCATGACCACTGAGAAGGAATCCTCCAAGATAGCCAAATACATTTTAGCACTGAACTGTGTAAGTCAGTGTCCTGGAGGGACCTTGCACTCAGATGGAGGCAGACTGTTCTGTACTGCCTGCAGTGGGACTGGATGTGTCAAAGAAAACCAGTATAGATTGACACTTAGAGTAGAAGTGCATGTGAAGTAAAAGGCTGTTACGGAGGCTGAAGGTCGCAGTCGTTTGTTTCTTGCTCTGTCCTTGCTCTTTAAAAGGACCACAAATAGCAGTTTGGCAAGGCATGAGGTGGTATTTTTTCTCATAAAGGTTTTCACGGCAGTGAACATTCCACTGGAGAAACTTTATCACCCAAAATTAAGGTGAACCAAACCATACCAAATGCTGGCATTTTTTGTGTGCTAACAAGCTTTGCCAAGACTCTCTCTTTGCAGTGATTGCTTTGCATATACAGTCCGCAGAGTGCTTATCGGCAGAGTATGAATCCTTCTCCGTTGTGGCCAATGAAGCCACTGACAAGATAGCTACATGCTGTACATTTTATTTGTACCAGGGAGCTAGACAGACTGGGACCTGCCTGTGTTTCAAAGAGATCCAGTCCACCTTGCATCTGTCAATTTTTCTACCATGTCTCAAGCCAGAACAAAGGTAATTGTCAGCTATGGCTTAGAATTTAACAATATCTCAGCATTCCTGTCTGACAGTGCAGTGTACGTGTGTGCAAGGCTTTCTCCGATGTGCTCCAAGGAATGCTGCCCAATGCAGGTCATGTCACCTGCAATGCACACATTCTGCCTTTAGTAAGTGACATCTGGCACATGTAGTTCTGTGATGTGAAAAGCCTAGTGTCCTCTTTCAAGAAAGCCTTCAAGCACTGTCCAGGCTATAAGGTACAGGGTGTCTGTTGCTCGTCAAACTGGGGACTTGCATACCATTGTGCCGTGCCACTGTTACCAGAGTCTGCGCTCACAAGGTGGAAATTGTGGTTCAGCGTAGTCCATTACCACACCAAGCATATGCAGTACTACCAGCAGCTTTTGAGCAAGGAGCTGGAAATCGCACCCAGCACACAGTGCATGCTTGAGCTTTGTGATCTTCTAAGGTGATCTTGCAACATTCAAGATCAAGTGATGTGTGTGGCTGAAAATGCCACCCAGTTCATGGAGCTTCTAATATGGTTTGAAGGCTGGCAGGCTGTGATCCACCATGCAAGTTGCTGGATTCGATATACTGAGTTGAAGACATGGCATCACAAGAACTGTCAAGCTGTCCTTGTGAAAACCACCAGGGACAGGACCTGTTCCAGGCAATAGCTGTGAAGCTGAATCAGTACAGGCGTACCTTGGAGATATTGCGGGTTCGGTTCCAG